CCAAAAAAATGAGATTTGCTTTTTAATTTTTTTTTATATTTGAAATCGGCATTTTGGAACGATGTTAGAGTCTTTTTTGAGTAATTTACACCCGCTCTATCGATTAGAAAAGTCAAAATTCGGAAAATATAAAAAATATAAATTTTGAGATTTTGACCTATTTTTCAATGGTACCTACCCCTTAGGATTATTATATGATTGAAAATCTTAAATCTTCAATATCTCATAATCCGTGAGAGATGATTAGTCACAATTTTCAGGCATTGAAGCTCCTATTGGGTGTCCAAAAACGTGTAATGGAAAATATTTGCAAGTTATTGAGAAAATTGAATTTGAAGTTTTTGACTGAATTTCGGCCAAAGTTCACTTTGAGGCTCAATTGCTCAGAAAGTATTCGAGCTATCTTACTCAATTTAGCATAGATTTATAGATAATTTAATTAGCTTTAAATCGATATATAATTTATTCAAATTTGCTCAGATTTTTATTCAGATATGTACAAGTGTTCCTTACCTTGTCAGGATTTTAAAAAATCCAGGACGAAAAAAAATGAGATTGCTCTTTGATTTTTTTATAATTTGAAATCGTCATTTTAAAACAATGTTAGAGTCTTTTTTGTTTGAGTAATTTACACTCGCTCTATCGATTAGAAAAGTCAAAAATCGGAAAAAATGAAAAGTTAAAACTGTGAGTTTTTGACTTATTTTTTTTTTTGGATTATTATTTGAAAATCTTGAATCCTCAATATCTCATAATCCGTGAGAGATATTTGTTCAAAATTTTCATGCATTGCAGTTCCTATTGGGCGTTCAAAAATGTGTAATGGAGAATATTTCCAAGTTCATAGATATTGAGAAAATTGAATTTGAAGTTTTTGACTAAATTTTCACTAAAGTTTAACTTTGAGGCTCAATTGTTCAGAAAGTATTGAAGTGATTTGACTCAATTTAGCATAGATTTATAGAGAATTTAATGCGCTTCAAACAGATATATAATTTATTTGAATTTATTCGAATTTTTATTCAGATTATTCCTCACCTTTTATTTATTTATTTATTTATTTATTAACGGAATATACCATTTCACAATATAACAATATTAAAACTTAAATAACTGAATTTTTATCACATTTTTGAAGGTACTCAAAGATTGGGAAAATATGTCTAAATCACTTTGGTGTCTGTTATACAATCTCACCATATTAGTTAAAGGCTTAAAATATTCATAATTAAATTGATGGAATGGAACATGGAAAAGCGTAGTATGTCTGGTTCCATGAAAGGTATTGAAGCCAATTCTGCCAAGTAGGTCAGGACAGTTGATTAAGGAGTCTACAATTTTAAAGAGGAATAACATGGTAAAATACTCTTTTCACTTTTCCATGGAAACTATTTGCAGATGACTTGCTATTAGGCTGTAGCTATAAGGAACTCCTAAATTATTAAAAGCGCTTCTAAAGTGATAATGCTTACAAAACTTATGCTGCACCCGGTCCAGCTTATTTATGGAAGATTAATAGTAAGGACCCCATACAACTATTGCATACTCCAATCTAGATCCAACCAGACTGTTGAAAAGGATCGGCAGAACTGAACAAGAAAACTGTGTTGAGTTCCTAAGAATAAATCCAAGTTGCTTAAAAGCTCCATTGACAACAGAATCAATGTGTTTATTGAATGTTAGGCTGGTATCAAAAAAGACACCCAAATCCTTGACACAGTCGACCCTTTCCAGTGAGGTGTTCTCTATTTTATAGTCGTGGATCAAAGGCTTATTTTTTCGATGGAATTTAATGACACAGCATTTGTCTATGTTTAATTTCAAAGCGTTTAAAGTACACCATTCATTAAATCTGGTTAAATCTTCCTGGAGTAAGACTTGATCATTAAAGCAGCGAATAACCTTGTATAGCTTTTTGTCATCTGCAAAATTCAGAAATTCTGAGTGCCTGATGACATTTTCCACATCATTAACAAATAATAAGAACAGCAGGGGACCACAGTGAGAACCCTGAGGGACACCTGAGGTAACTGCGATGGATTGAGAAAGAATTCCATTTACCTTCACACACTGAGAATTTCCAACCAAGAAACTTTTGTACCAGCCGAGCCAGCTACCCACAATGCCCATAGCCTCGAGCTTCCTCAACATAAACCTATGGTTAACTTTATCAAACGCCTTTGAGAAATCAGTGTAGATGCTATCTATCTGATATTTATTCTCAAAGGCGTTCAATATGCTATCTTGATATATTAGCAAATTTGACACTGTACTTTTTCCAGGCTGAAAACCATGTTGTTGTGAGACTATGATTTTATTAGTGAGTTTAGAGAGCTGGCTAGTTACCAGCTTGGTATAGTTGACTGAATACAAATTCCTCTGTATTTCTCAATCTTTTCTCTCTCACCTGATTTAAAAATAGGAACGATGTAACTATTTTTCCAGAAAGAAGGAAACACGCCAGTTTTGAGGAAGAGATTGAATATAAAATGGATGGGTGTCACAAGTGAACAGTGACAATTATTGCGAAGTAAATTTGGTGGAATACCATCTGGCCCTGATGAATTTTTACGAGGGAGATTTATAAGTTCATCAAAAACAGCTGTGAGCTGGAGCTGAATCTCTTTCGCATTGTCAATCTGTCGAACATGGTTTTCAAAATCTGGGATCAAGTCCTCGTTGTCCTCTTCATACACTGTGGAGAAGAATTCTGCAAAAAGATTGGCCATGGCTGCATTACCCTGAGCTTTGTTGTTCCCAAAAAACATTTCTTGTGGATAACTAGAAATTTTTCGAAGTCTGCTAATGTAGCTCCAAAAATCCCTAGGGTTTTCACGAAAATTTACTTCTAATTAAGTATAATATTCGTCATGGCATAATTTATGTTCAATTTTGCATTGTTCACGTAGAGCAGAGAATTATTGATAAGAATCAGTGGAAGAACTTGTTTTGTAAAGCTTGTGTGCAGCTTTTTTCTTAATAATTAGATTTTTTAACTTGGATGAGAACCAAATAGGAAATTTATAGGAGCACTTCACATACTTCTTTGGAACAAATAAATCAATGCATTGATACATGTAATCATAAAATATTTGGGTAGCTGCCTCGACGTCATCAATCAAATAAAAGTCACTCCAGTCAAGAGCAGACAAGTATTCATTTATTGAATAAAAATCTGCTCCTCTAAAATCATAAATGCAATCCTCATAGGTACCCAACCCTGCACTGGAAATAACCAACCGGAACCTCAAATTCGTATGGCTTATGCCTGAAACTCTCCTCAAATAGTGGATCGAGAGGTACATTTACAGAAATTGTGGAAATTTTTGAGAATAAGAGATCCAAAAAGGTACCATGCCTGTTGGGTAGTTGCACTAATAAAAACCAAGATATGCAAAAGAATCACAAATTATATTAGCATTAGAGTTATCATTCACTGGTACCGAAAAACAAACACCACTTGATTATTGGCCCAAATGGCCTCTCTTAGATTATAATCACCAATCAACACTGGCACACATTGAGGATTTTGCGAAATGATTTCCTCTACAATTGAACAGTGCATCTCGTAGGATTCACAAGGAAATTCAGGAGGAATGTAGATAGCACCAAACACAAATAACTCTTCATTCACTATGACTTCTACGAAGAGCTGCTCCATTTTATTCAGGTTACAGCTTCTCAAGAGTTTGGATAATAAGTTGCTCCTGACAGCACCAAGCACTCCTCCTCCAACTACATCATGATCTAGATGTTGTAAACGGTCCTGTCTATAAACACTATAGCCTTGTAGATCAGTCTCGCTTTGCAAAAATTTATCAGAAAGCCAAGATTCAATCAATATAATGATGTCATAATTGTTCAATGTCACAACAGTTTTCAAATGATGAAGCTTAGTACGAAGACCGCCCACATTATGAAAGTAGCATTTGAGGGGGTTTGTTAGTTTTTTGGCATTGCAGCTGAAAAAGTTGAAGCTGGATGTGGATTACGTACTGACTTAGAATTTTGGTGGTCAAATACAAATTTGCTCAAATTTTAATGAAGATATATGCAATTATTCCTTATCTTGTCTGAATTTCAAAAACGTTAAAAACAAGAAGTTTTCCCAAAAAAATTAATTGACCCTCTAAAAATACTTCCATTTGTCCAAAGGACTCAAAACTACTAAAATTACAAATCAGACATTTCCTAGGACATAAATTGAGACACCCCCGACCTAGAATATAGATTTTTTCTTATGAATTAGTAATTGAATGACCTGATGTAATGACTCAATATCAACAACAAAAATTATTTGTTTACATAAATATCCATCAACATAACTAGTTATTTAATAAACAATAATTTCTTTGTCGGCTTACGAGATTCAAAAAATATCCTTATAATGTTTTTATAACCATAATGATCCTTTGAAGTGCAAATAAAAATCCGTGTCATTGTCTTTTGTAATGAGAATTCTTGATTACCCTCAAAAATTATTCAAATTGAAATTATCATTTAAACAAAAAAACAAATAAAGCATAAATTTACTAGTTTATTATTGTTTAGATGTTTTCGACTGAAAAAAAATATGCTTATATTGTTCGAAAAACCAGAAAATTAAACATATTATTGTTAAGATTTATTATTGTTAATAAGAAAGTATCATATAAATGGCAATCAAGAGTTTTATTATTTGATCCTGACAACATGAAGTCAATAACTTTTTAATCTACGATTTTATGACGTTGATAATAATATGTAAAAAAACATAATAAACTTTTTTTTATGTTGATTATAGTAGGCAATAAACAAAAGTCTAGACAATGTTTTTCAACTCTCTTTAAACGTGGCAACATGTTTTCCATCGAGCGCGGGACAAAAATGAGTGAACCAATTGGTTCGAGCTATGCCGAGCCTTCAAGCGCGACCAATCAGGTTTCAAGCGATACATACAGTGTTGCCACAATGTTTTTATGTGTTGTGTGGGTTGAAATAGAATTTAAAATGAGACTTACCGTCGCCGCAAGACACCAAATATTTCCCGTTGGCCGAAAAGTCCATGTCCAAAACTCGGCCGGTGTGTCCTTTTAAGGTTGCTAATAGCCAAGGATGATTAAATCCTATAAAAAAATTTATTGTAATAAAGTTTTTTCTTTTATATTTGTAGAATATTATTACCTTTTTCGTTAGCCCTTGCAGTCCTTCTGGTTTCCCGTTCGGTAAGTTGCTTCTTTTTAGGTTTGGCAGCCTGCTGCTCTTTCTTACCGTGCTTACCGGAAGTTTCGGTCGAGGAGCTTTTCGATTTTGCGGACTTATCATCTAGAAAAACAAAAATTATCAATTATTTTCAGATGCACATTTATTAATCGAGATAATTAATTTAAAAAAAAAATAAATAATACGACGTAGTTTATGGAATTACTGGCAATAAAAACTATCAGATTTATAGTACTACGTTTACTGCTATCTTAAAAATGTGCAGTAATTTAATCACTGGACGTAAATATTTTAACTATTTCTTAAATAAATTGGATATTTTCCAAGAATTTTGTCATTCATAATATGCAATAGTCATATTAAAAGCCTCATAGGGATCTTAGAGCCATTATTATTATTATTAGTACCTACTAAAACACATTCAATTAAAGGTGAATTTGAAAAAAAAAAAAGTAATGCGATTTATATTTATCTGATAAGTGAGTACATACTTATAAAGTCTGTCCAAGATAACATCAACTTGCCCCGAAAAATCAAGAATATTATTATTAAAACACCTCTGACCTAAAATAATAGTCTTGACTTTGGTCAAACTAATTATGTAATTAGCATTATTAACAAATCTTGACCGTGTCAAAACCAAAGAAACTTTCTTTTTGTTTAATAAGCTATAATTAATTATTGAAAACCTAAAATGTCAAACTATTAACTTCCTAGTTGTTGTATAATAATTTAATTCAAGATGATACCCTATTCTTTTTAGAGAAAGTCCCTTGATAATTTTATATAATCTTGCACCATCTGCACCGGAAACATGTGTGTACGAACTTCGAAGAACAGCTGCAGGTTGAAATGAATCAGGCTTTGAAAAAATTTGTCTGCATCATATTAATGGTATTTGAGTCATAATTAAATCAAGATCATGATATTATTCAACCCACTGTATGAATCATTCTAGTCATAGACAATCCATTAAAGGAATTTTGCCAATAAGAATTGATACTTGGTTAAATAAGATTTAATCGGATTCTTCTCCAAAAAGTCTTATAGATCCCGACTCATTACTTCACGAAACTTCCTGAGTTTTTTTTATAAGAAAACAACTCTTAAGATTTTTATAGAGTTTTTAAAATTTTTGAATCCTGAATTGTTCTTTTGCAAATGATTTTCTTTGAAAAAACTAGATATCTTAAGCATCATGAATAGCAAAGTTTTTGGTTCTTCTTAGAGAGGACTCTTAAGATCCTAGATCCTGAATCTTTCTTTTGCAAATGTTTTTCTTCAAGAAGACTCTATGGATCTTAAGAACCTAAATTCTGCAAACCTTGAAACTTTTTTGGTATCTTTCATTAGGAGAAAACTTTAGTTACTTTAGATCCTAAATTCTCAGTCAGTAGTCTGCAAACTTTCTGATCGATTTCTAAAAAAAAATACTCTTGAATCTTCACTGATTGCAATGAGAAGATTTTCTCAGATTCTTATATAGTACCCTTAAATCTTGATTGTTCTTTCCGAGGGGGCAATACATGTAAAAATTTTATTGCATTACATGCGCGTAACGACGCATTACTGCGAAATTACCAGCATCAAGGTAGCATTACTTTGCCACCATAAGACATTACTGGGAATAACCAGGGATTATGCTGGAATAATACCAGACATTACTCACAAATATCACGGAATTACGCTTGCTTTCCATGGAGTTACGGTTGATTTTAACCCTCAAAGTTTCCGAATATTTACTGAGAGATCATTCATATTAAAAATACTAACCCCAATATTAAACATATCTTTGGGTAAGATTGTGTATCTATAAAATGAAAATAATTTCACATATACAGAAACTACAAACCAGTCAGAGCAATTTTATTGATAAAAAATAGTTAGAAAGCTTGTGTGCCCCAAACTCCATACACTAAATTGTTCTCAGATTTGAAGCCGAAATCTATGAAAAAAGGCACTTAGAAAAATTGAAAAATTGATAAATTACCCCAAATTGCTTGGATAAAATTCAGTGAAAGTTTCAGCTTTCTATCTATAATAGAAAAAAAGTTATGACCTTCCAAAGTTTTCGAAAATCCAAATCATTAGGTAGGTACCTTCTTACTAAAACGATGAAATTTCAAAAAAAAATTGTCGAGATTTTATATCCTAATGGTCAATCAACGTCCCCCAAACTCCATACACTAAATTATTCTCAAATTTGAAGCCGAAATCTATGGAAAAAGGCACTTAGAAAAATTGAAAAATTCATAAATCTCCCCAAATTGCTTAACACGATTTTATCTCAGGAACTATAGGTGCAAATGAGCTGAAATTCTCAGAGATTGTAGTCCCTTGATTGGGATAAAATTCAGTGCAAGTTTCAGCTTTCTATCTATAATAGAAAAAAAGTTATGACCTTCCAAAGTTTTCCAAAATCTAAATCATAAGGTACTTACCTTCTTACTGAAACGATGAAATTTCAAAAAATTTCACATCTAATTCCTTTTTCAGAATAACATAATTATTCTACCGAAATTCCACTAAATTATGGAATTCTGAGATTTTAATAGATTTTTGGGGATTCCAAAGGATATTTGGGAATTTTAAAGGAAATATTTTTCAGAAATGTCAATGATTGGGTTTAAAATAACCTATAAATCGAGATTTGTTAAAAACATATGGCAACGCTGCTCATGATACAGCAAACGTCAAAAAATTGAAATATCAAAGTAGGCCTTGGTTTTTTTTGACAGTCGATATAAAATGGCGTCTTTTTGTTTCAAAGATTACGAACCGAAGAACCGAAGTATTAAAATCAGTTGACAATGAACGGGTTCGTATAATTCCGGCCCTTCGGGCTCGTATAATCTCGAACCTTCGGGCTCATGATTAAAATAACTCCGGCCTGTCGGGCTCGTATAACTCCGGCCCTTTGGGTTCGCATGATTCCGGCCCTTCGGACTCGTATAACCTCGGCCCTTTGAGCTCATAATTGAAATAACTTCAGCCTTCCAGAATCAAGATTCGAAAAAAAAACATATGGCAACACTGCTTATAATACAACAAACGTCAAAAAATTGGCCCTGTTTGGCTACTTTTTACGTATTCGCCGAGGCTAAATCTATATACCCATGTGGTTTTTTTTTTTTTAATTTTGACAACTACTGTCAATGTCAAAAAATTTTACCTTTTCTTTTTTTCGAAAAACAAATGTCAGAAAACGATCCCCAAGCTCCGAAAACCCTAAAATAAGAAGTTTTATCGATATATGTCAAAAACCAACCGCCTGGCAACGCCAAACGTCTTTTTTGACATATGTTAAAAAAAAAAAATTGGTACTTCCTATGTATTCGCCGGGGCTAAATCTATATGCCCATTAAAATTTTGACAGCTGTCAATCTCAAAAAAAAAAACTTTTGTTTTTTCCAAAACAACCCAGTTGGTACAAAAAATTCAATTTCCCGTCGGGTTTGGAATTCGAATTTTTGAATTTTCCCGGCTCCTGATTGGTTTGGGGATTCGAATTTTGTTTACTCCCGGCTCTTGATTGGCTTTAAAATAATCTATAATCTCGGCCCTTCGAGCTCGAGATTTGAAAGAAAAACATATGGCAACACTGCTCATGATACAACAAACGTCAAAAAATTGAAATTTTAAACCTTGGGTTTTTTGACAAACGATACAAAATGACGTCTTTTTGTTTCAAAGATTACGGCCCGAAGGGCCGGAGTATGAAAAATCAGTTAACAATGAACGGGTTCGTTCGGATAAAACTTTTGTCGCACGATACTTTAGCAATATCGACAAATGTCACCTGTCAAATTTGACACATGTTCGACTTTTTCCCCGCTCTACTATAAAAGTTACGAAAATCAAACCCCGGTACAAGGCAGTTTCGCGACGCTAACTATCGATTTGTGTCAAAAAAAATTGACAGCTGTCAACGTCAAAAAAGTTTTTTTTTTATTTTGCGAATTTCGAGAAAAAAAGTGATAGAAAACGATCCCCGGACCCCAAAAACCTTAAATAAAAATTCCAAAAAAAAAACCAACGGAAATGACATTCCAAAACCTACTTGATAAAACTAAAGTTTTTCTCACTTACCCCGTTAAAACACTGGAAATTTTTGGTGGAAAATGAAGAAGACTCAAAGCCTCGTACTTTAAATCGGTTTTTCCGACCAGAAAAGCCCTGGAAAAGCGGACAAATTCAAAGAAAAACCTCTAAACATGACATTCCAAAGCCTACTTAATGAAATTTGAGTTTTTGTCACCCCATTGAAAAACTGGGAATTTTTTTTAAAGATAAAAGTCAAAATGACATTATGTTGGCAATACAATGTAAAATTGTCAATGCTTCCAAATTTTTTATGTAGAAAAGGCTTGTGTTGCCAACATAGTTACTAAATTTTTGACTTGGGGAATTATCTTTAAAAAAAAAACAGACTTTATTTGAAGTTGGTACAAATGGTGTTGCCACATCAAAACTTTCAAAAAAAAAATGGGATTTTGTTATTTATGTCATTTTAAAACTGGACATTTTTGCTAGAAAATGAAGAAAACTCAAAGCCTCGTATGTTAAATTGCTTTTTTTGAAATCAAATCAAATCAAATCAAATTTATTGATAAGTTACACAAAATATAGTGTTTTTACACGTCAATATAATTCCATTGAAAAACCCCGGAAAAGTGAAAAATTCAAGGAAAACCTGGCAAAAAGTTACAAGGCGTCACTTCAAAATGACCAACTAAAAGCAACGTTGCCACATCTCATTTCGGAAAACAAAAATAACATGTTAAAAGGGTTTTTTGTTTAAAATTCAATTTAATAATAATTAATTAATAATGATTATAATAATTAAATCTTCCCAAATAATCATAGGAAACTTGTTTTTAGTTTAATTTCAATGGAAATGACATTACAAGGTTTCCTTATTGGTTATAGTGAGTAAGACAAAAACAATGATAAAGTAGTATATGTTTGCAAAAACCACCGTTTTCTGAAAAAAGTAAAAATCTTGAGAAAACCAACATCCCAAAGCCAATTTGATAAAACTAAAGTTTTTGAATATTCCCGACTCTTTGATCGGACGCTAAAAATCGCATTTTAAATACTCT